AAACTACAGATACACGCTACCATGCCCAGCTTATTTTTTATTTATTGTAGAGATGAAGTCTCACCAAGTTGCCTGGGCTGGTCTCAAACCCACGGGCTCAGGCAATCCATTTGCCTTGGCTCCCAAAGTGCTGGGATTACCCACTGAGCCACCGAGCCCGGCCCAGGTTTTCTTTATCTCCATGGTTTCTTGCCAAACTAACAAATTTTCTATAAGTAGAATGGTCTTCTACAATATTAGTTTTCTATTCCTGCTATAACAGATGACCACAATACATGTCTTAAAACAACACAAATTTAGTATTTTCAGCTCTGTTGATTAAGTCCAACATAAGTCTCACTGAACTCAAATCACTGTGTCATCAGGGCTGTGTCCATTTCACATGTAGAACATATTCACCTCACTCCAAGATTCTCCCAAAATCTCTACACACTGCAGCATCAATTCAAAGTCCTAAATCTCACTGACTCAAAAATCTCAATGTTTTATCAAAATCATCTAAATCAGGTATGAGTGAGACTCTTGGTATAAGCCACCCTGAAGCAGAATTATTCTCCATCTATGAACTGTGAAACTAGAAAACAAGTACCCTGCTCTCAAAATACAAAGTTGGGACTGCCATAAGATAATAGTTACAGGAATTCCCATTTAAAAAGAGAGAAATTGAATGGGAAAGTCCCTGGTCTCAAGCAACTCTGAAATCCAGCCAGGTAATGTGGAACAGGTTTCTGGGCAGAATTCTGTAAAGTTCTCAGTTCCACCCTACAGGTCTGCACCTCTGCCCTCAGAGTCATCCTTCCTTTTTCATAAGAATTAGCTTGTATTTAAAGTTGAGCCATTTTATCAGCTTGTGAGAGCTTAGCGATGCTGACAACCTTCTTTTACTTTGTCCTCTCTCTGTCCCTTTGAGTTCCAGCTGGTAGTGTTTCTGCTGACATAAGGTTCTCATGGTAGACATGTGGGTCTACCATGTCTCCGTAAAACAAGAGGTTCACCCACAGATCCTGCCTGGATAATCCCTTCTCTATTTTTGACTTCTACTTAGTTGCTTAAGGAATCCATGAGTCACACCCTTGATCTCTTCAGTGTTTTTTGTGAGTGGACACTCTGACCTTTTGATCTGAGGTTTCAGCAAAAGGTTGTGTAGTGACACTTTTGGCTTTGTCTTCCAAGCATGCTTCCCTGACAGTGAGTCTTTGACTTTAGCACCCTTTGCCACTCCAGTAGGCTAAGAATTTGCAAAACCATCAAGTCCTGGGTTCTTTTTGTTTAATGTGCCTCCCCTCAATTTACTTCTCTACTTTCAAATTTTACTATTAGCAGCACAAAGAAACCAGGCCATACCAACAACATTTTCCTTGGAAACCTCTTCAGTTAAACATCCAAGTTCATTGCTCCTAAGTCCTGCTTTCCACATAACTGCAGGACATAATTCTGCTAAGCTTTCTGTTCTGTAATAGCAAGCATCCCTTTTCCTCCAATTCCCAACAGTCTTCTCTGAGTCCCCACCAGCAGCATCTTGAATGTCCACATTTCTACCAACAGTCTGTTTACAGTAACTTAGGTATTCTCAAAGGTGGTAAGTGTTTTTTCTATCTTGTTCCTCATTTCTTTCTGAGTCTAGCAGAGTTGTTAACATCCATATTTCTACTAACAGTCAGTTCGTGGCAATCAAAGTTTTTTCTAACAGGCACTTCACAATTCTTCCAGCATGTGCTCACTGCCTAATTCCAAAACTACTTCCACAATTTTACATATTTATTGTAGCAGCTCCCCACTTCTAGGAACCAAAATCTGTATTAGTTTTTTACCGCCACTGTAACAAAGTACCACAATCATAGAGGCTAAGACAATATTCATTTATTTATCTTACAGTTACATAAGTTAGAAATCTGACACAGGTCTAACTGGGCTAAAATCAAGACATCAGCAGGGCTGGATTCCTTTCTACAAACTATAAGGGTGAATCCAATTCCTTGCTTTTTCCAGTTTTTTAGAGGTCATCACATTCCTGGACTCATGATCCTCTTCCCTCATCTCCATATTCAGCGACTTTGGACATTACATCTCTCTGGACACTGTATCCCTACTGGTAACCCTGTTTCAACCATCATATCTCTACTGATCCTCTACTTCTATCTCCTGCTTCTGTTTTTAAGAACACTTGTCCTTAGGCTGAGCATGGTGGTTCACTCCTGTAATCCCAGCACTTTGGAAGGCAGAGGCAGGAGGATAGCCTGAGCCCTGGGGTTTGAGACCAGCCTAGGCAACATAACAAGACTTCGTCCCTACAAAATATCAAAAAAATTAGCCAGGCATAGTGGGACACACTTGTAGTCCCAGCTATAGGGAGGCTGAGGCAGAACGATTCCCTGAGCTCAGGAGGTTGAGGCTCTGGTGAGCTGTGATCATGCCACTGCACTCCACCCTGGAACAGAGTGAGACACCAACTAAAACAGAAAAAAAAAAAAAAGAACTCTGTCTTTAAAGGGCTCACTTGATTAGTCCAGGATAACCTCCCTATCTGTTGTTTAGCAATTCCCCTTCAGTATGTAATGTAACATATTCACAGGTCCCGGGAATTGGGACATTCACATTTGGGGGGAGGAGTCATTATTCTGCCTCCACATCTACTAATCACTCGAACTAGAAGTAAACCATAATTCAAGGTGGTCTAATAAGATGATCATTATTCTGTCTAAACACCTACTAATCACTCAAAATGAACTAGAAGTAAACCATAATTCAAGGTGGTCTAATAAGACATCGGAAAATATTAACAGCTAAAAGAAACAACTTCCAATCAAGAGTTGACTTTTTTAATTTTTCAAATATTTAGTGAACCTAGCAATCTAACTGAAGGTGTAATGTCTCTTACTTAGGGCAGATATTATTAGCTAACTAATCCAACACCCATTTTCAACCCCTTCTCCCTTGCCTGCTCCTAATACTTGGGCTATGAAAGCTAAATACTCACTTTCCTGGCCTTTTAAGGGTAGTCATATAATAAGTTGTGCCAAAGAAATCTAAAAATTGCCTTGGAAAAAGATACTGCATTCTTGATTAAAAAAATGGCAGATGGTGCTGGCACTCCCTGGCCCCCTTCCAGTACCCTTCCTGCCTTGAATGTGGTACACTGCCAGTAACTTATGCATCTATTTTGCAATAATGGAGAATGTCCAAAAGAATGCAGGAGATACTAGCCCTGACACTGTTAAGTTTCTGAGCCAACACCAGCTACTCTATGCTTCTAGGCTTCTGGTTATATGAGGAAAAGCTAAACTTCCATCTGAAGTCACAGTTTACATCTGCTTCTCTGTTATTTTCAGCTGAAAGCTTTCCTAATTGTAACTATACTCAATACACCCACTGGTTAAACACAAGCATTCTCCTCCAAAAAAAGTACTGTGTTGCACAAAATCAGATTTACTTAAATGACTTATAATTAATAATTAAGAGGGAAACTTTTAAAAATAACATGTATTATGTACTTTAGAGCTGTAAGTTATACATACTCATTCTAGGACATTAAAAAATTACCAAACATTTAAAGAAAATAAATATCAGCCACAACCCCAAACACCCAGAGATAATCTACTGATAATGTATACTTCCATTCATATTTTTTTATATTTTAGTAGAGACAAGGTCTCGCTATGTTGCATAGACTGGTCTCCTGGGCTCAAGCAATCCTCTTGCCTCAGCCTCCCAAAAATGCTGGGATTACAGGCATAAGCTACATCTCATGGCCAGATTTTTAATATGCATACATAAAACAATTTTTAAAGTAAGACTATGTGAAATACAAAGACTGAGTACAACTCCTATTTAGCACTTTAATGAGAACTTATTCATATAATTAAAGATTCTGCAAAAATATTTCCAAAAACAGTATTTTATAATGCGATTTTAATTAAGTAATTTTAACAATGATAGACACATAGGTTGGTTTGTCCTTTTTGCTATATAAACAATGTTGCAACAAACATACTTGTATAAAAGTCCTTCTGTGTTATGTCTGATTATTTTCTGAGGATAATTTCCTTTTTTTTTTTGAGTTGGAGTCTCACTCTGTCACCCAGACTGGAGTGCAGTGGCCGCTCCCAGCCACCACAGCCTCGACCTGCTGGGCTCCGGCAATCCTTCCACCTCAGCCTTCCAAGCAGCTGGAATGACAGGCGCGCGCTACCACGCCCAGCTAATTTTTTGATTTATTGTAGAGATGAGGTCTCGCCAAGTTGCCCAGGCAGGTCTTGAACCTGCGGGCTCAAGCAATCCACTCACTTCAGCCTCCCAAGGCACAGGATTACAGGCTGAGCCACCGAGCCCAGCTTCTGAGGATAATTTCATAGATGTGTTCTTACTAGGTCAAAAAGACAAAGCTTTTCAATTACTCAACAAATTTTATCAAAGTACTTTTTAGAAAAACTGAATCAATTTATTACTCTACCTCCAGCATACACCAAAATGTCTCCCTGTAAGTACTGAATGCTGCCTTTTTGCCAGTCTATTGAGTACAAACAATAACTCACTCTTGAATTTTTAATTTACATCTTTTGATTACTAGCAAGAATGACTAAAGACATTTTGATCCTTTGCATTGGTTAGTCTATGAATGATCACTTGGGTTTCTTTAAATGTCTAAGAGTTCTTTATCTACTATAGATGCTAGCCTTTTGATGTATTTGCTATAAATATTTTATTTCAGTGTACACATATCATCTACTTTTTAGTTTTGTTTACATATTTTTATCAACATTCCTATGTACTCAAATCTATTAGTATTATCCTTTGTGACTCCTTTTTTTTGCTTTATCAGCTAGAAATGGTTTTCACATGATGACAACTGCATTTTAGAAAAGAATGCTTTAAGATATTATATTATTTTAAATTTCTATTGGCTTTCTTACAGTCAAAAAAATAAAATTAACAGGAAGAGAACAGCAACTATGCCACTAAATATGTAAGTATCCTATCCTATATTTTGACCATTCACATACCTGCTTGTGACAATTATCACATCCTCAGAGATGGTAGCCATTTCTTTGATAGTAAGGTAGCACATTCTCCTCAATGTTTGCTGAAAAAATTATTTACAAAAGGCAAAAGATTATTCATAAAGAATTTTTAAAAATTATTTAAAGTGAGGACTCCAAATAGATATATTTAGAAAGATACTTCTTAAAAAGATTCTCATCTACTCAAAAAATCTTTTAAAAATATCTGGTCAAGAAAATATTCAAAATACTAGTATTTTCTAAACACAAATAATTGATGCACAAACACACTGGAAAGCATCTAGGTAAAAATTTAAAAATTCAATGATATGGGTCTTTCTACAGAGAGATGCAAATTTAGACTCTGAAAGCTTGAATCCAAAGACATCCTGGAAAACTTTTTTTTTTTAAAGTGACAGAAAGCATACTTCCTGGAATGCACATTTTAAGCTATGAAAAGCGTATGTCCTGGAAAGCATTTCTGTAAGTTATGGAGAGATGTGCAGGCTCTCCATTTCCTCAGTTCCATGTTCACCAATGTTCCTCCAGAACCCTAGATGACTGTGGTTGAACAACCAACTTCCATTTTCAATTACCATGATTTCTGTATGGATACCTGGATCAAAGCAAGTACCAAGCTAACAATAACAAGGCTTCACCTATCCTCTCCTACTCACCTGGATATCTGATTATTCATACACTATGACATTAGGTTCCTCTAGTCTTTCCAGCCTCATTCCCAACTGAGTAACTTCATATTTCTTATAAGTAGATAAACTCACATACATCAGACGCAGACCCAGTGTTCATGCTATAGAACAAATCTTGAGACCACTGAGCCCATTAAGGAAAGAAGAAAGAAGTGAGGGTTCTCATGACAATCAAACACAGAAAAAATAAAATAAAAAAGAGAAAGTCAGTATGGGGCAGACACATGGGACAGATCACATCCATACAAAGCTACTATGAGAAGAAAACAAAATAAGAATCAAAATTTTGGAGCTGCTTGAGTCCAGGAGTTTGAGACCAGCCAGAGCAACATAGCAAGACTTCGTTCTCCACATAAAATAAAAAATTAGCCAAGCATGGTGCCATGCACCTATAGTCCCAGCTGCTTGGTAGGCTAAGGTGGAAGGACTGCCTGAGCCCAGAATTAGAGGCTGCAGTGAGCTGTGATCATACCATTATACTCCATCCTGGGCAACAGAGTGAGATGCTGACTAAAAAAAAAAAAAAATCATGGCAGAAAAATATCCCCTCCCTCAATTTAAAAAAAACAACAACAACCCTACCATAAGAAGCAGAAGAAAACTGGAGATACAAAAAAAATTAGCTATAGGCCAGGTGCAGTGGCTCAACCCTGTAATCCCAGCACTTTGGGAGGCCAAAATGAGGGGATTGCCTGAGCCCACCAGTTCGAGGACAGCCTGGGGAACTTGGTGAGACCTCATTGCTACAATAAATCAAAAAATTAACCGGGTGTGGTAGTACGTGCCTGTAGTTCTGGCTACTTGGAAGGCTGAGATGGAAGGATTGTCTAAGACCAGAAGGTTGAGGCTACGGTGGCTGGGAGCAAGCCACTGTACTCCAGCCTGGTCGACAGAGTGAGACTCCATCTCAAAAAAAAAAAAAAAAAAGCCTCAAAATAGAGGCTCAACATTATTAATCATCAGACAAAAGAAAAGTAAAACCATATTTCAGATACTACCTCACACACACCAACAAGGCAAAAATTCAAAAGACAAACATATGCTCTTAAACCTCTAAAACGTACTGCATTAACTAACTCACAGAAATGCTGAATAAAGTATGAATAAAAAATTTAAATATGTAGCCAAGGGAAATGCAAAGATGCTAGAAATGAATACAAATAGTCACAGAAGTACATGCCCAGGATCTTACTGTCATGAGACACAGTATCTAAAGTCTAGGACGAAAGGGATTCTAAAAGGCAAATTCTCTAAGGACAAAGAAAATTATTCCAGATAATAACTCAGAAATATAGCAAGAAATGAAGAGTTTTTAAAAAAAGAAAAGTGGTAAAGATATACGAAGTCCAGGCGTGATGGCTGATGCCTGTAATTCCAGCACTTTGGGAGGCCAAGGCAGGAGGCTTGCTTGAGCCCAGGAGTTTGAGACCAGTCTAGACAACATAATGAGACCACGTCCCTTCAAAAAATAAAAACATTTGCCAGGCATAGTGGTGCCCACTTGTAGTACCAACTACTCAGGAGGCTGAGGCAGAAGGATCACCTGAACCCAGAAGGTGGAGGCTGAGGTGAGCTATGATCATGTCACTGTACTCCAACCTGGGTCACAGAGTAAGACCCCAACTCAAATAAAATTTAAAAAAAGAAAAATGAAAAAGGCATAAGTAAACTACAGTGAACAATATATGTCACAAAAACATGTAACTATAAATATGTGCGTATGAACAGATACACAACTATATGTTTATATGCTCATACACATATAAGGACTAAGAGTGTCCTAAGATTCTCAAATTTCCTATGAGCAGAAAAAAAAAGATGAATATTAAATTTCAATAAGTCAAAAATCCATTGCACGTTTTAGGGTAACCACTAAAAAAACTTCCAAACTACTATCCCACACGTCACTGATACTCTGTTCGTTTCTAGTCTGTCTTTTTCTCTCTCTGCTTCATTTTGGACAGTATCTAATGGTGTCTGTCTGCAAGTTCACTGATGTTTTTCCTATATTTCTAATTTTCTGTTGACTTCCATGCAGTGTATTTTTCATTTTATACATGTTTTTTGTTTAGAAGATGTATTTGGATTTCTTTGTATATTTATTTTAATCATTTTTGTTTTATCTTTCCATACATTATTAAGCACACCATGCTTGTAATAGCTATTTCAATGTTATCTGCTCATTCTATCATCTTTATCATTTCTAGGTTTGTGTCTGTTGATTCATTTTTCTCCTAGTTATCAATAATATTTTCCTGCTTCTTTGTATTCCTGTTAACGTTTTATTAGATGGCATACACTGTGAAGTTTACGTTAAGTGCTAAGTTTTGTTGTATTCTTTTACATAGTATTGAACTCTCTTCTGTTGTTGAGGGTAGGTTACTTGGGATCCGTTTTTGTACTTTTGAGGCTTACTTTTAATATGTTTAAGCTTTAGTCTAAGGCTGGCATATCCCTCAATACTTAGGTGATATCCTTCTGAAAACTATCCCAGACGTCTTTGCATTACAAGGTCTTTCCACACTCAATGGTGGGAATATGAACCACTCTTAGCCCTGTGTTCCAATTCTTTCCTTAGCCTTGAGTTCAGTGGTCACCACTTATTCAAAGACTCAAGAGATAGTCCTCATCAGATCAGTCGGTTCTCCCCTCTCTCCTCCACCTTCCCTTTTCTCTCTGGCTTCTTCTTTCTGCCCCACAAATTTGAGGTTTCTTGGGTTTCCCAACCTCCATTTTTTCTCAACTCAGAAAGATAGCTAGGCTCCTTTCAGTCTGCCTTCCTGGAACTGGGGCCTGTGATCTGCCTCTGATCTAGTACAATCCTAGGGCTCACCTTGTTTGTATCCCTTCTTCAGCTCACAGTCCTGGGATGCCTGTTATCCAATGTCTGTACACTTGGGTCATATATTTTGTTTGATTTTCTAGGTACTTATGGAAACAGGGTAAATCCAGCCCCTTTATCATGGCTGGAAACAAAACAGAAATGTGAACTTAATATCAAAACATTTGGTGCATTATCTAGTTATTCTTGTATTCTTAATTTCTAACACTATTCCATTGTAATTAAAGAGCACAATCTATATGATTTTATTCCTCTGAAATTACAGTCTTGTTTTATGGCTCTGTATATAGTCAACCTTTGTAAATATTCATTTTCTTCATGTACATTTAATGTAGATAATGATATATTTGGGTCTGTGTCTACCATCTTATATGAATTATGCTTGTCTTGTTTAATCTGTTTCTTTTCCTCTCTTTTTTCCCTTATTCTGGCTTGATCTTTTTATCAATTTTTTTTTTTTTTTTTTACACAATTAGTTTGGAAGAGGAAAACAACAAATAGAAACAAGTCAGTGAAACAGAATGCTGGTCCTATGAAAACATCAATAAAGTTGGTCAACTCCTAGATAAGATTCCTAGGAATAAAAGATAGAAGGTACAATCTGCCAATATCAGAATGAAAGACGAGACATCACTACAGATTCTACAGACATTAAAAAAATGAGAGAATATTATGAACCACTTAATGCCAAGTTCTACAATTTAGATGAAATTTCTGGAAAGATACAAATTCCTAGAGTGAATCTGAGAAGACAAATAACCTGAATAGTGCCGTATCTTTTTTTTTTTTTGAGTTGGAGTCTCACTCCATCACCCAGCCTGAAGTACAGTGGCACGCTCACAGCCACACCAGTGTCGACCTGCTGGGCTCAGGTGATCCTTCTGTCTCAGTCTTCCAAGTAGCCGGAACTACTACAGATGCATGCTAGATATCTATTTTTTAATGTAGTTAATTAACCTCAGAAAACCTACCCACAAATAAAATGATTCCAATAGTGAACTCTAACAAACATTTAAGGAAAAATTAACAATGACTTCACAAAAACTCTTCCAGAAAACAGAAAGTCTTTCCAACTCACTTTAGGAGGCGGCATTATCCAAATACAAATCCCAGACAAAAACGCTGTTAGAAGAAAGAACTACAGATCAATGTTTTATGTCCCTAGACAAGAACAAACTGAAGACTATGTGCTTGTGTGTGTGTGTGTGTGTGTGTGTGTGTGTGTGTGTGTGTGTGTGTATGGTAATAAGGGTTTTTCCCCCATAAAACTGAATCAATGCATTTCTCTAGATTAGTATACTAAAAAATAATTATATGATAAACAATGGATATAGAAAAGGAATTTGCAAAATTCAATTCTCATTCATGAAAAAAATCTCAGTCTACTAGGAATAGAAAGGGACTTCCTCAATCTAACAAACAAAAGTCATCTACAAAAAACCAACAGCTGGGATGGGCTCGGTGGCTCAGCCTGTAATCCCGCGACTTTGGGAGGCTGAGGTGAGTGGATTGCCTGAGCCCGCGGGTTCGA